CACAATACCAGAATTTCAAACTTAATATTGGTACTTTTTTTCATATCGCAGCTAAACTTTTGACCTCATCCTGCAACAAGAGAAGTAATGGCAAAGAAGCCATTTTTTGAAAAAGATAAGTTAATTTTCCACGAATTTTCAAAATTATAAATTAGATCAATTATCTGTGACATTTTTATCTGTAATGTATCTTACCTTCAGAATATCTAATAAGTAATAACTAATAAAGAAATGAAACAACACAATACATAACACATTTAAATCATAGAAATTTTTGTAGTAGAAAAGCATTATGAAAAAGTTAAAAATGAACTTTTGTGGTATTAGTTATGCTAAAATAAAGAAGATATTTTAAAAATGGTTTTACTAAAAATCAATTTTAGTATTGATTAATATCTCAGTATGGATTTTTTTCTGACAGCCCTAGTTGGAACAATAGGGTTAAAGGTCATAGGTCAAAGAAACAATGATTATTGGTTTGAATTGTGAAACAAAAAGTGGTCTTTCATATTGTTGATGTTTTCTTGACGCCATCCATCGATCCCAACCTCCTCATTTTATTGACTTGGCACATAGCTAAATCTACTGACTTCCCTGTCACACTAAATTTTCACAGCAAGAAAAAAGATGTGTTTTGTTGCTAAAACAGTTAATGGTAAAATGTAACTGTGGGTCATAATAGGTTGCTACAAAAATTACCTCTGGGGTCACCTGTTAAGTAGTTCAGTCATGTTGTGCATATGAATAAAGTATTGCAGCTATTTGTAATGAGCTTGGCGTGAGATCTCTGTTTCAATATTATTATAAAACTGTCCTTAGGATATGCAAACCTGCTCTACACTCTAATTAGACTCAGACTAATTGGACATTAACTTGTTAACACACATTGTTCCTGTCTAATAAGGCGTCTTTCAAAGGGCACATGTTCACCGCTAATTCAGTTTATATTATAAATGTCCAATTAATTGGGCATTTATAATACAAGTCCACCTCTCCTGGCATATGCACGGTAGCATATGCCAACAGCAAGTGTTAGACTCTTATTATTCTTGCTATTCTTTAGCTCAGTGTTTTCCATACTTTTGGAATCATGGCCCATATTTCACATTAGAAAAATCACACGGCACACCACCAAACAAAACCACCAGGTATAGCAGAAGTGGCCCGGTTTGTCCCCAGTATACCTTTTTTGCTTTCTTCTGACCACTACTCCTACGAGGGCCTTCATCTGGGTCGAAATTTGCTCCAGGACCCAGGTCCGATTGACTACTTTTTTTTATTCAAATATTCATCTATTGCTATTAAGTGCTGCGTTGTTTCACTCACAAGCATGACTATTATGTATTTTCTTTCCATCTTCTTCTGTTTTACTGGCAGTTAGCAACCAATTTAATTAGAGCAGCTAGTAGTACTGCCCCCTAGTAGAAGAGAATGTAATTGTTCTGCCCATTACTCACGTTGATCGCTTAGAGTACTAATCAAGCGGAACCAGATAATCTTCCATGGCACACCTGATCATTTCTCGGCACAGTGGTTGGGAAACACTGCTCTAGGCACAAACCATAGGCTATATGTAAAAGTTAGATGTAGCAGCCAATTGGTTTCTGAACATTGATGTTGTTTTTTGATCCAAAGTTACCATTTTTAGATTAGATTAGAATGCTTAGTGATTAGTTATCAAGTTTGGTAAGCTACTTATATCCAGATGGTGTATAGCACAATGACTGGAACAAAAACTGGAAGGATGCCCACGGACAGGGAACTGGGGGTATGTAATGACCGTCCATGGAATATGCGTGAAAATTCATGTGAAATCACTTTTAGCACGGAAGATTTGCCCCCCAGGAATTAAACTTATTTTAACTTTGAGGCAAGAAATAAAAATGGGAGAAAGAAAATACGAGTGATAATGCACAAGATAATGTGATAATGCACTACAAACTACAGCTACCCTTAATTCTGATCCTAAATAAATCCAAGTGAATGATATAGGGTAAATTTTCGCCCAGTCTACAATAGTTCCAAAGGGCAAAACAGTTTTTGTATTCGAGGCTGTAAACATATAATGCTGTAAAACTGGGCATTTTAACATGGTAGTCGTATGGGGATTCCCACCTGTTAGAGGAACACAGTTTCTGACACTCCAGCATTGGCTTCATTTCTCAGCTCTGGAGTTTCCAGATTGATTTAAATGTATAAAAAAATATTTCGGATGTAACTGTAAATCTATCATCCAAAAACACATATGTGAGCAGCTACAAATATAAAAGGTCATATTTTATCATTTACATTATGTTCAGTTTACATCTACTTTGGGTGTGAAAGGGAAAGACCTGTAATTGAAAGAGCTAAAAGTCTAAATATTAATAATGAAGCCAGTTCTCAGAGGTTTTAACAGGAGGAAGTTGGTAACTATTAAAGAGGAGAAATGAGGCCTTTCACGTTTGATATCTGTTCCTGTCTCTCGTTTTCTCTGAATCACTTTTTTCTCTCTCTGTCCACGGGTATTCATGAGTCAATTTAGCACACTTGCCTGCTTTTCACCACTAGAGATTAACAGAGGTGTCGAGAGCTGGCAAAGACTTCTGAGATGAACACAAATGTTTCAAGTTGTTCGTTACTGTCAACAAAGTGCTGATCTGTTCTTGTCAAGTCACAGCTCAATGAGACAAGTGTCAAACCCCCCGATCTGTGATTTGTGCTGCTGTTATGTCATTCAGCCCTTCTTTATTCTCTCTCTTTTCTCTAGGTAAACACAACAGAGAGTTTCTTCTTTGTGGTCAAATGAGGCCATAGTGCTGTATCTGCTCTACATTTGGTCACAAGCTCATCAGTGTTGTTAGCTGACTTACAGAAAAACTTTGGTGCAATCACTTTGCCACTTTCTTGCAAATGTGTGTTTGACAGCTTCTTTGTCCCATCCTCATTGCATTACATGATGCTCATTGGCTTCTGTTTTGTTTTTGTTTTGTTTTTTTATTTTGCATCCAGTGGCAACTTTTTTGCTGGCTTTTGGGAAATAATAAAAAACATGCCAGGAAGGATAGTTGTTTTTACATTTTTAGGTCATGGTAAAAACCTAAAAATGTGAATTTGTGATATTTACTGCAAAGCATTATGTTATTACTGCATTCAAGAAGCGTTTTGTCAAACATGTATCCCCTCCTTTTAAAGACAAGCTACTTTTTTCAGTTTGAAATAAATAAATATGTGTTCTTGTATTTCTGTCTGTGAGATATACTTTAATTCCATTTTTCTTAAAGGTTATGTGATGGTAGTTGAAAGACAAAAAAAACGCCCAAACCACAGAATATGATATTCTTACATAGCATGAATATACATATGTATTTTTGCTATTATTTCATTATTAAGGTTAAACATCACTAATTATCACTAAATGTGTTGTGTTGGTCTCAAACCGATGCACAAATTTTAATGAAACACAAACTGGAGGTCTCACTGGGATTTGGATGAATGCTAATATATTTTGGCCAGTTAGCACTACTAATTGCGTCATGACATATCAACCCTATTTCCTGGGCCTACACTGCAAAAAGCTTTCGCCTTTTTAAGAAACTCCTAAATTTGTCAATTTTTCTTTGAAAATGGGTCCTCCAAAAAGTATTCAGTTGTCATTCTAGCCATGTGTAGCTTTTTATTAGCACTATTCAAGTATAGCACAGCTTTGAGCTAAGTTTTAGAGACTCATTGTACACAAGAGCATTCAGGTTCGTTGTCTCTGGACAGCAAATATTTAACACTTCAAAAAGACAACCACTCTCAGGCAAAGTCTAATTTCACTGGGACCTTTAAGATCAAGACTTTTTCATAACCAGTTATCTAAAGCACAATTGTATTTGTTTATATTAGCCTACTCAGAGCTTTGTAGCTACCCATGTAATACCAGCTAGCCCAAAATCACAAACCTCCTAAACATTGTTGGTATTTAGTTTTCCATCTTTGTTTTAATCCAAAGTTCAAGATTTCAGCCAGAATATTGTTCTTGATCTTTAGATGTCTACCCTGTTTTCCATGCTGGTATTTTCTAACTCCATTAAACCTGTTAAATCCCCATCGTATGAATACCTGGACATAAGTCTTTCTGGAGAGAACAGTCATCCTTATATAGTTTTTTTAGTTGAAATAATAAGGACGTCATACTTAAAGTGGATAAAAAGACTGATAACCATAGAAAGTATAGAAGGTGGACGTAGCTACTGTGACATCATCCAGTTTCTGAAGTCATATTTTGAAGCTTCATGATTAACATTTTCACCATCAGTATCTTGGTTTACAAAAAACAAATGTGGCAAGAGGGGTAGGCATGGCTAAACACAGGCTACTATCTACTCATTTAGACAGTAGCAATAGACAGTGGTTTCGTTCCTTATCCAACTATGATTGACTAAGCCCATAAACTCAGGAAGAAACATTGAAACAACAAAAATCATCTAATGGCATTAGCTAGTCAGACAGGAGTAAAGAGTCTGTCATTGACTTGCATCTTTTTAGGTCCTTTTTAGTGTACATTAAATTGAAAAAGAACTGTTATTTTGCCCTTAAACGTTCAAAAGTCAGAAGACGAAATTAAGAGATTGATAAAACATTTATGGTCAGTTGAGTTGGTCTTCTTTAGATGTTTGAGATTTTGGTGAAAAAAGTTCAGGTAACTGAAAAGAAGACTAGAAAAGGTACCTTTGGTCACAAATAAACACACTCTTTCTCCTTAACTCAGACAAACAACCAAAATAATTCAAATTGTATCCAAAAGCAGCAGAGTAAGCTGTAAGAAAAAAGAATTAAGAATTAGTGGTCTCGCTTAATAAACCCTCACACACTGGAATGCTGGAATACTGAATAATTCCAAAACAAGAAATTAGATCATTTCAATATTTATGAAAGTTTCCTGTTTGCCTGCCTGTTTAATCACAAACATGATGACTCACTTCCTATTTCTTCCTGTCCTTTTTCTTCCTCTTCTTCTTCCTCTTGTGTTTCAGTATGATCTACTCCTTGGTTACCTCATAACAACTGATTATCAACAACTGGGGAGAAACAGGAACACCTTTCGAGGCATTTGATACGACAGGACTAAAGAACACTAAAAGACAATACATTTCAAAGTAGAATAACAAAAACCTTTTTTTCCCTTGTTGCTGTGAAGCCAAACATCGAACATACACGTGGTTGAAGCTTGTTTTCTGCTTCATACCCAAAAGAAGAAAGGACATGCTTTATCCTCAACTGTATATAAAAATTGAAAACTAAATCTACTGTTTACAGTTTGACTCCTCATAGCGAGACCCAAGTTAATCACTGCCTGGCCAATGTTTGTACCACACACACAAATACAAACATACACAAACACAAACAGCCACAGCCTCCTCTGGAGTGCTACTGTACTTGCTGTACGGTAACGGCGATGGTAGCCCAGAGGACGAAGAGCACAGTATTGCACAGTTTGTCTCAGGCACAGCATGGTGAAGCACTGTCAGGCCCAGCACAACTCACCGAACCCTCAGTCACTCCTCTTCGATGCCTCACCAACTGTAGCTTCACCGGTGAGCTCAGGACGAGGGATAGATGAACGGATCACACTGTACAGAAAAGAGAGATGAGTTCTTGCAGGTGGGGTTTTGGGGGAGTTGAGCAGGAGCACACGCGGTCTGTACGTAGCCTGTGGGATTTTCTTTCAAACATACGTGAATGGCTTTTGTGATGTGTGCATTTTGGTGTATTCTTTAAACAAAGGCATTTCAAATTGATCTTCAGCAAACGTATTCTCTTTACAGCAATGCCTCTTAGTGTCGTCCTAGTGTTGTTCTATTGTGTAAACTTTTCGAAAACTCAAGCTAACAACTGAAACCTGGCGAAGCTTTGATAGGAGCACACATTCTTTACACAATTAGTGTCTTCAATCTTGCACAATGTGCTCAATATTTGGCTATATTAGAGAACATTTATTATGGTCTATCCACACAGGTGACGGTCTTCCAACATGTAAAGAACCTTTCAGCCCTATTTGAAGATAGGGAAACAATGTGAATCTTTTCTAGCTCTCTTTACACCTTGGACCAAAATATTGTATTTTTTTCATTTGGATTTATTTATTTTGTGACTGCTCATTTCCATGCTTTATTTTAAACATCAATTTCCAATGTAACTAATGCCAGGAGCAAACAAAGCAGAAGATGGGAAAGGTGCCTGGTATTAATTGGGTTTTTCTCCCTGGTTCGAATGAAAGCAACTGTAGCAAATGATGTTGGCAAGAGGTTGTGAAGAGGCTGTCATGAATCACCAGAATTAATTCAGCAGGGCAGGTGGTTGAACCTGCATCATCCATGTGTAGCACAGTTTTCTAACTATTAAGAAACTCGTTAAACCTTCCCCACCATCTTTGCTTGATGAGCTTCACTTTGTAAAGTGGCAGCAGCAAAGAGCAGATAGGAATGCCCCGTTCTTGTTGTTTTCTCTTCTTCTAAGTCAAGCGTTTTCTAACGTAACCTGTATGTATGTGACCAACCAAGTTGAATTTAGATATTGTTTATGAAATAAAGTATTTTAAAATCTAAAGACTCAGTCATTGTACTTAAAGTGTTTTCAATGTTTCAGTGTTTTCAAATATTATTTCAAACATAATTTCTGTGGCATCCTCTCTGCATCATGTTACATTTGGCATATTGATTTAGCCTCGTTGCATCGGGACAGGAATCCCACCCCAGTTTGATCACCCAAATGAAAACCTTCTATCAGAAAAACAATAATACAGAGAAATTCACTTGATTTGTTCTGGTTTATGAAAATATACCATTTTACCTTCTGACTATACCAAAACTCAGTTATAACCCTAGATATGTCACTGGTAACCATTGAGGGATTTAACCATCTCATGCCTATTTTGGCTGCCTCCACTGCGAGTGTGTAAGCAGCAGATGATTTGCTCCCTGTCGCTAGCAACCTCCTGTGTCAAACCAATCCTCCACATGTCATCTTTCACAAATCTATGAATCTTCCTCCTCATTTAACATCCTTTATCTACTATCTCACCTTTGCACATGTCCAATCCGTCTGAGCCCTGCCTCTCCATCCACTTAGTTCACTTCAAATGAAAATCGTAACATTTCATAATTTCATCAGTGCCATCTCCAACCCATACATTATAGCAGGTCTCACTAGCATCTTATAAACCTTCTTTTTCACTCTTGCTGCTATGCTTCTATCACCAATCACCCCTGACACTTGTCTCCATCCACTCACACTGCCTACAGAGACTGTAGGCAGTGTCTTAACCTCTCTTCTAACCTGTCCGGTGGTCAACCCTAGGTACTTCAACTCATCCACCTTTACTGACTCTACTCGTTGCATCTTTGCTGTTACACCTGTCTCCCTCTCATTCACACGCATGTATTCTGTCTTGCTCCTACTGACTTTCTTTCCTCTTCTTTCCAGGGCATACCTCCACCTCTCCAGGCTCTCGTCCACCTGCTCGTCCACTCTCTCTACAGATCAGTATCATTTGCATCATGTTACACAGAGACACCTGTCTGAATTTATCTGCCTTATTTGCATCATCACTGCAAATAAGAAAGGCTTAGACCTGATCCCTGATGTAATTCCATCTCCATTTTGACTGTTACTCCAGCTACACACCTCACCGCAATCTCTTTGCCCTCATACATGTCATGCACCACCCTCACATACATATCTGCCACGCCTGAACTGCTCATGCGGTACAACTGTTCCTCTCTTGGCTTATGCTTAGTTGGATCAAATTCAAATTCAAATTTTATTTGTCACACACACACAACCATACGCAGTATGACATGGGGGTGAAATGCTTGTAGCTGTACAATGCCCGACCATTAAATGACAGAAGGAAAGTTTTACAATATTTACAATTTACAGTTTACTACAAAAATTTACAAATTAACTTAGGAATTTACAGTAAAGAATGTGCAAATAGCAGAAGAGATTATAAAGATAAGGATTATAAATTATAGGAATTATAGGATTATAGGAAATGTGTGGTGGTGCGTGTGGTGACGTGTGTGAGAGTCCAGTCTTATAGTGACGTGCTTGGGAGAGTCCAGTCCTACACCTGGTTCAGGCCCCGAATAGCCTGGGGGATGCACAAACACTCAGTCCTTCTGATATTTTCTATACTTCTCCATCAATACTCTTGAAGAAAACATCACATCTGTTCAGATTATCAACATGAAGCCACACAAATGCTCAACAATCATCACCTCTCTGCTCAACCTAGATTCAGCAACTTTGCCATGGTCATGGTATCATGACTTTTTCCCTCTTGCTACAGCTCTGCACTTCACCCTTTACCTGAATTTCAGGAGTGGAACCACACCTCCATAGATACCTCTTCTGGCCAGGGAGCTGCCTCCAGTCCCCTCTCAGGCCTTCCCCAAGCCTCAATTCATGCTAACATCATCTGTCATCATCTACTAGAAATGCTGTCAAATTTAAATGAGGATGTGTCCCAGCTAGTGGATGTTGTTAAAAATTGGCACTTGATGCTTGTTATTCATCTGTTCATTCTCCAGGGTTGAGGAACAATTTTGTCAAAACCTCCACCGACTCTCTCCTTGACACCTTAATACTTCCATGGGTATGTCATCTGGACTATCTGCCTTATCATTCTTCCTAATCCTCTGCACTTCCTGATTTGTCTCCTCTGTCTCATTTGCTTTATTCAGCTCTTGATGAATACTATTCCTCCCATCTTCTCAACACAAATTTCCCTTTTTATCTTTAGTCACCCTAACCTGCTGCACATCCTTTCCATCTTAACATCTATGCCTAGCTAATCAGCCCACACATACATATATAAGCCTTATTCTTTGCTACACATCACTTTCCTGTACACCTCCCACCAGGCTTGTCTCTTTTCGTTATCTCCCCGACTATCCCATGTGTTCTTTGCTAACGTCTTCATTTGAATACTGTCCTGCACTTCCTCATTTCACCACACCAGTCTCGTTCTCCTCGAACCTCTTCCCAGAGAATACAACAAACACCTTCCCAGTAGTTTCCCTCGCCATTTGTGATGTAGTTTCGCACTCATCTGATAACTCTCCCTTAAAACCCAGAGACTGTCTGGGGTTTCTCCTGAACTCTGTGCAGCATTTTTCCTTCTCCAAGTTTCACCAAGTTCTCCAAGGTTTTTCCTTGCCACATCCTTTTTGCAAAATCCACTACACTCTGTCGTTCTGCATTTCTCTCCTTAACACCAAACTCACCCAACACCTCCTTATCACCTACGTATCCATTAAAAGTATGCTTCAATCACCATTCTCTCCTGCCTGGGGACGCATCACTTCATTAAGCTTACTCTAGAATTATTCTTGCTTTGGCATCCAACCTGTGGGGCATGCACACCAACAACTTTCAGTATAACTCCTTTGATTTCCAGCTTCAAACAACTGATCCCGTCTTACAGTCTCTTCACCTTCACAACACTATTCACATACTTCTTTTTCCAGATTATCACTACTTCATTTTTTCCTTTCTATATACACCACGGTAGAACAGCTTAAATCGACCTCCAGTGCTCCTGACCTTGCTTCCCTTTCACCTGGTGTCTTGTACACAATATATCTACCTTCCCTCTCTCTATAATATTAGACAGCTTTCTCCCTTTAGCAGTCATAGTTCCTATATTTAAAGTCCCTACTCTCACCTACTTGCACACCTGGGATAGGCTCCAGTGCCCCCCGCGACCCTGAAAAGGATAAGCGGAAGCGAATGGATGGATATTTATTTCCTATCTTATTCATAGCCTTTTTTTTTTTAGGTCACGAGCAGTTGTCTAAGCACTTTACTGCATATCGTACTGTGTATGACTGTGTACGTGACAAATAAAATTTGAATTTGAATTTGAATTTTATTCAGGGAATAGCAGAAGGGGTACACTGGCTTATGTGAGTGTGTCCCAGGCTGGGTTCACAGGAGATACTTGATATATTTTCTTTTTCTACTGAAAATAATAATAATATTTAAAAAAAAATGTTGAAGTCAGCAATATCCTCCTTCCCAATAAAATCTCTGGCACGTAACTATAAAACAAACTGTTTCTGGCATCTTGCTGCGGTAAACCACCCCCTTCATCAAAGAAACACTGTGAGCACCTTAACATATAACAGCACAAACAAGGAAAGAAAATATTTAATTAAGATGCATAAACACTCCTTAATTCTCTCTGGTGAATAAATGTATCACCTTAATGTATAAGTCATTTAACAGTAAAATTCTGGTGTCCCAAGCACCTCAACACTTTACACATTTATATCCACTACTCATGCTCACACATTCTTTTGTTGGTCACTTGAGAACAGTTCAGTGTTTTCTATTAGGGAGCATGTAACAATTACTTTTCACAACTCACTAATCTTTCTATTTTTTCATTAATTCACTCGTTTTTCCCTGACCACATTTTAAAGAGGAAAAGACAAGAACCTTGTTGTACGGAGTGATAACTTATTTAATATTTAATTTCCTGCATTTAAATAAGAAAAAGGTGCAGTGCAACAATACTCAAGACAAAGGTACTCTGTTTTTGTTGCCAAGGGAAAAAAGGGAAAAAAATGTCCAATATTGGTATCATTTGTGACATGAAACCAATGCATATCCTATAAATGGCTTGGCCAGGAATGTATTATTTGATGCCCTGGGAATAGCAACAACCTCAATAAACAGGGTACTATCAAAATCTGAGACCAAGTTGTAAAAATCCAAAGCCTTAGTTAACTTATACTAAATCTCAGATTCAAGGTCATCTTCTCAGGATCATTTCAGTACAGCTGTGATCCCTCAGTAGAAGTTCTGCTGTGTCACTAATTGGTCAGACATTTTTCACATTTCACATTTTTCCTTAGCAGCTGCTGCCTGCCAGCATGTCACCAACCACTCTCTAGGCGTTTATAACTAAATAGATATAGTTTAGATAGATCTATTGTGTCTTGGTTCTGCTCCAGGTGTACCGCCTCACGTTGTCCCTTTCATTGTGGAAGGGTAACTATATGTGTGTAGCCAGATACCCTTCAGAGGAAACCAAAAATAACAAACCATGAATTATAAACAGTGTTAATCTGTTCTCTCTCTTAAAGAATAAATCCAACTCATTCATTGAGAATATTAATAAAGAATTGTTATTCTAGATGCTCAGACAGAAAAAGGACTGGATTAATTAGGATATTGCATGGGGACGTTAGTCCATTGTGAACCCTGTTACAGCACTATACGTGTTTCTGCCAAAAGTAAGAAGAAGAAAAATGAGCCTTGTGACGTCTACCAGCAGGTGTTCTATTATAGCCTTTCAATTCTGGAAACTACCCAAGACTAAATAATATTCACTGTTGTCTTTTACAATCACAGCCAAATAATGTTCTGTGAGTTGGCAACCTAATCCTTCTTCATGAATGATTTTTTGATGGTGTTACCTAATGACTCTTCAAGGATTGCTATAACCATTTTGAGGATTACGGTGTCCTGGGATTGTAGCATACCTTTAGCATATTTTGTTGCTTTAGATATTT